TGTAGATTACAGTTTTCTATTATTATATTAGTACTGATTTTGAATAAAAGTTTTGGTACCTTGTACACTCCTCATCAAATGCATTCTGTCAAGGTGTGAAATTTGTCTTGAGGATATTGAACAACACATGTAACTTTGTAAGGCACTTTAATGTTTGAGATATAAATTGAAAGATATCAGCTGAACTGGAGAACATTGTGAGCATACATGTTCATGGGGAATTGAAATGCAGTCGACAGTAAAAGTAATTATTCTTCAAATGCATTGCAGTCGTGGCATACTATTTTGCATTGACATAAACAGCAAGCGGAACCTTTCAGGACCTACCCATTAATTATTTTTCTTAACTCTGCAGGAATTAGTCACTCAAATTTCAAGAATAAGAGCAATGTTGAGTGTTTTATGCATTTTATGTTTCAACAGAGCTCCAAGGATAATGAAAGGAGAAGAGCTGACAATTTTGCAATACTTATTAGGTGGAGGTGCCAGGGGGAGAAAAGTACAAAAAAATAATAATAACAGGAGACCAAGACAATGTGAGGCACCAGCCATGAGGCATGCTCACGTTACTTATTTAAGTTATCTTTAAAAAATTGAACAACACGTGAATCTTGTGTAAACTTTGGATGGTGCCTTTTCACATGATTCTTCACATATCTCAATTTTAATGGCTTGCACCAACTATAGGCGCACAATGGACATGTTAATTTATTCTCACTTCCCATGGAGGATTGTGCTGGACCCTTAATATTTTGGTAAGAAATCACTGATTTGTGGAAATAGCCATCTTCCACAGCAGAACTTATACCATTGCGAAGGTAGGCCCCAAGCAGATGTCTGGCATGTATACATCGTGGTCTATTCCGAGCCGCTTCGTATCGCACCGGTATCGGGACATTGCCACCATGCGGTCGGTGTCGTTAGTGTTACCCGGGGAGCTAACCTGACCAGCGCGCCGCCGGCTCATTGATTTCGCTCATTCGGTTCGACTTCGCTTACATTCGGGTTGATCCGCTCTATGATTTATTTGACTATGACAGTGCGTGTCTAGGAAGATATTTCGCTAGAATAGACATGCATTCATAATACTATTATTCCTCTTTAGATCCTACCGAGGCGCAGTGGAACAGGCTGGTGGACGCCGTGAGCGTCGACAGAGAGCTGCAAGGCGAGTTCATGGGCCCGGGGTCAGCCGGGCGCATGACATAGCCAAGTGGGAGCAGCTGGCAGCGGCACTCAACGCCATGGTAGGGTTGGAAGAACAGACTAACGATTATTCGATTGTTCGAACAAAAATGATCGACTCTTAATTAATCGTCGTCGTTCGAGGACGGTTGGATAATCGAATAATTCGACGAATTCGATTCACCGCGTTATTCGAAATGGAGAATCTTTCAGAGCTTTAAATTATTGTCAGAACCGCTTGAATGTGGCCCAAGCACGTCTTCGGCAGCAACTCGACTGAAGCGCGATGCGATGTTTGCGGTGGCGCTGTGGGGGACGACCGAGCTGCGAGGCCAGCCGAGAGCTGAGTCGAGTCGAGTCGGCGTCGGCTCCGACGAGCGAGCTTGGCAGCACTGTGTGTCGGTCTAAGCTCCGCCCACCCCACCCCACTGCAGAGCTACCATCACGCGTCGCTGCTCCGTGATTCGAATTCGCTCGGAAAAAACACTGCCATCCGTATTATATTATGTATCGGTAATACTCAGAATAAGGGTTTGTACCGTAAGCAGCCTGCCGAATGCTGTTTGGTTAGGGAACCTAAATCAGTGATACATCTTTAAGGCTATTGCGTTGGTAAAGTGACGCTATTTCGAATGTCAACTGTTGAGTATGTACATACTCAACTCAGCAAAACTTATGCTTGTTATGCTCAAGTTGAAGGTTGGGTAGGATTACGCTAAGGTGAGGCGCGTCGAGTGTATAGTAGTCGCGGTGAAACAGTGTCGGTGTTCAAGAGTAAGATTCAACATGGCCCCAAGTCCTGTGTGGACGTACTTCAGGAAGCCGACTAAGGCGAATGGGAAAATCGCCAAATGTTTAAAATGTGGTCAAGAATTCACTGATCCATCGACAACAACGCTCTACTATCATCTCGGCCATGCTCATTTGATCAATTTGAAGAGACTGCCTCCAAAGGGCAAAAGGTCCAGTGCCAGTGACAGGCCTAGCACGCCTGAACGTTAAGACGAAAATGTAGATGACCCAGAGGAGCAAGGTCAAAACGAGGTTAGTTTCAGAATTTTATCACGCAATTTTTGAAAAGTCAGAGGTAGTCTCAGTCGCGGAGCTCTGTATGTTATACACTTGTAACCTGTATCGTCCTGTCGAGTAGGAACACAAAGTCAAAATGGGGTTAAGGTCCAGGTGTCGTCCTTCTGACGTCTAAGTCCCTATGCGGGCGGATTGTAGTTTGACTTGAACGTTCATAACGCCAGCATTTGGACGTCATTTTGACAAAAGCGTTCTCTGGGTGGTGCGCATGAACGCTGGTTCGTGCACCAAAATGTATTACTGTTGTCTGTTTCATACAGCCTACAAGATCTGCGTCTGAGCCGCTGCAGTCTACTTCGGGTAGAACTTCAAGATCTTCATCAACACCCGACCAGGCCGGAACAGAGAGGGCTACAAATCAGGCGCCAACACCTCCACGTCCTCGTTTCTCCAGTGAAGGACCGCTAGACAAGTGCCTTAGCAATGCGGCTTCCTTCTCTAGTAAGTTAATTGTCCTAGAGCCACCGCGCCCCCCAAGCTCGACGGCGAGCTCCTCCGGCGCCCGTGTCCGCCCCCGCCCGCGGTCAGCTCGACGGCCAGGTGCCTTGCCCCCGGGCCCTCCTCGCTCTGGCTGCTCGGCTGTCGCGCTCGGGTGCCGGGGGAACACTCGGCTCCGCTCGGCTGCGCGGCCGAGCCGAATACCGAGCGGCTGGCTAGCGCGCTCCTCCTCTCCGCCCAGCAGTTCGCAGCCGCCGGGCGCCTTAATTTTCGCCTTCCGTTTTTGTCCTTCTTAGTTCCGCTCCGCGCTATAGCGGAGTACCCAATCATGCCTCTAAATCCTTTGTTTGAAACATGAGATAACAACAAATTTGTTTGGTGCACTAACACTAACACTGTTCTTTCCTTTGCAGGCTTTCCAAAACCTGCGCAACTGCGCCAAGAGACAGTACGCGGACAGATCGAGATACACCACGGGCACAGGCGAAGGGACTCCACCAGCTGCAAGCCTGGGCCTCAGCACAGTGTACCAGAGGGTATTCGCCCATGTGCCGTTTCAAAACATCATAGGAAACCCGGGAGTCCCAGCACCCCTGCAGGTAAGCAGTGCCTTTGCAACAGCATGCCCTTTGAATGCACTGGTAAGAACTTTGTCTTACTCGAGAAGTTGGCAATAGTTGTATATCATTG